TTTTTGGTGTGCGTTGGAAGAGGGGTAGTCTTATACGGCGAGTATATCCCAAACTCTATATTTTAACTGGAAAAGTTGGGGGTCGTCTTATACGCCCAGTCGTCTTATACGCCGGAAAATACGGTACTTTCAGCTCATCCAGACTGACGGATGTCTGCATGCGCAGGGCACTGCGGGAAATTAGTTTTCTCTCCACCTGGTGGACGAGAACATTGGATTTTGTCTGGAAGGAACGCTCTCAGCTTGAGCTTGATGATTCAACTAAGCCAATACAGTTGTGTGGGTTTCACCTGATCAGGACATAACAGACAGCGGATCTCAAGGGCCTCAAAAGCCAACCTGATGGATTCCTGCTTGTGAAGGAACACTCAGGTTTGCTCGAGTTTGTAGTTCACTAATGATTTCCTCACTGAGGAAGTTAAGCCTGCTTCTCCTTAGGGGAGAGGAAAGGACACAGTGAGCAAGTCAATCAAATTCTCCTTAGGGGAGAAGCAGACCTTTGATAACTCCTTTAAGGTACAGTGTAAACGGCTGGGTGCGCTTAAAAGTATGGACAAGGAGAAAAAGCTAGTAGGTGATCTCACCTCCCCAAGGATGGCTCTACATTGCTCTCTGGGCCAAGGTGGAGGTGTCCAAGACACTGACCTCAAGAGGGTGTAATCTTGGCCATATCTTTGAAGGCATTAACACCAATGATGCGCATAGAGCGGTTCCTGGCTACCACAAATTACAGCATGAAGCGAACGCTTTGTCTGGTTAGATCTCAATGAGCCACTGTATGGCTGTTCTAGAGGGGTAGAAGGCATAGATCTGTGCACCAGCAGTTTGAATTATTGTATAGCACACCCCCTCCCCCCTTCTTCTACCTTCCTTCTGGGAGGCAGAGTCCCAGTGGTTAGAAGGGAAGAGAATGAGTCCCATTTTGTGATAGCCAGAGGTCATGGAAGTCAGGATCCAGGCTGAAGAGCCCAAGGAGGTTCTTTGGTAGGTACTCCTGGGGGAATTCTGCACCAAAAAAATAAAAATTCTGAGCACATTTCCAAATTCTGCAAAATTCTGCATATTTTGTCAAAATAACACAATATAATCACACCAATTTCAATTATTTTTGGTCATTTATTTCAAAATACCCGTCAGCAAGTACGTCTGTAACAATACAGACGACAAAAAAGATTCAGGAAATGTTTTTTGACAAATAGATTCCTTACTAGGCATATTAATAAAGAATTCTGAGTAATAATTCATTTAAACTATAATACTGAACCATATTTCCTGCACCCCTCAGAAGCAGTGCAAAGACTTTGGGGAATCAGAGGTAACAGAAGAGCTGAGGGAGAGGGAAGTAATTGCTGGGAAGGAGCTTGGGTGTGAACTTGGAGGGTTGTTATGTATGGTTTGGAAAAGTATGGAACATTTTGGGGGGAGAGGGGGGCAGGGAGGGATTGTTAGGGAGCTTCCCTCATGCAGACCCTGGCTGACCCCTAGCCTCTCCCATTCAGTCCGGCACATCTGCCCATCCCTGTGTGTCCCTGCACCCCGTGTCCATATGTATCCCTCCACCCCCACTCCCTCATCCCCTTGAGGCTCTATACCCCCTCCCCCATGTATGTCTGTGCCCCCACTCAGCCATCCCCCACGCCCGGCCCCATGTGGCCATGCACCCTCTCCCCCATCCCCCTGTGGCCCTGCGCCTCCACTTCCATTCAGCCCCTGCCCCAGTCTACCCTCCCACACTAGCCCTTATGAGCCCATCTACGACTCCCCAGCAACCCCATGCTGTCTGCCTCCTGTTATCAGTAAGAGGCGAGGAAAAGGTGTCAACTCCCTTCCCCACTAATGACAGAGAATGCCCAAAAGGCACAGTGAAGAAGGAAGGCACTCTCTCTTCCCTAGCTGGCCAGGAGCTGCTGCTCTGTTCTACTGCCATAGCGCCCTCTGGGTGAGCAAAAGGCGGAACTGCAGCAACTTTCCAGCAGAAGTTTTTCTCTGCAAAAAATTAAAAATATGCGCAGCTCATTAATTATGCACACACAGTGGCACAGAATTCTCCCAGGAGTGGGTAGAGAGGACACTGAATCAGATGAGGACATGATCCACTTCATGCAATATTTGCTATACAGCAGTGGACAGGAAGAATCAGTATTGAGGTTCAGCCCTAGAAGAAAATAAGGCGCTTCACCTCATTTGGATTTCTGCTCCTCCAGAGAGATTAAGGTTTTTGTTAGATAGGAGATCAATTAACTTCACTGTTCCAAAATGGCCCTAAGGGTTTTTGGAGGAACAAGAAAGTGAAAGGACACAGTGAGCAAGTCAATCAAATTCTAGCTCACCCTTTTCAGAAGACACCGTACAGGAGGAAGGAAAGGATGATGTTCCTCTCCACCTCTAAAAGTAGGAAAGGGTCCAAGGTGTGCTTGCTGTGGACATGGAGCTTTGAGTAAGCATTCTTGGAAGGAAGGTGTAACAAAGTGGGAATTTTTAAAAATATTTTTACAATGCATGTGTGTGCCTCAGTTTCCTCCTACACCTTGCATGATTACCCGGGGGGGGGGGAGGGGGGGAGAGGATTAAGTCTGCTCAAGGCAGAACATGAGACATAGGTGTCTCACCTAGCTGTCTGCACCATTAAACAACAAGCTTAAAGTGATCCAAATCAACAGAGGATCCATGAAGACAGACACCTCAATGACTGAACAATTCACACCTATCAGCAGGAAACCCTGGCCAGTGAGATGTGTGAACTGAGATTGAGAACGAAGAGGAAAAGGTGTCAGGTGATGCGGAGAAGGACAGCTCTTTGGAGGGACTCAGGAGCTCACCTGGGTGGACAAAGGGACAAGAGATGGAGTTGAGCGGGAGTCAATCACAGCTTGACTGGCTCATCATGGCACTGGTTTGACTGGGATGGAGTATGGCTAAGCTTCTGCCTCTCGCTGATGACATAAGGACTTTCAGATTCTGTATGTCATGTGACTAACAAATTGTTATCTTGTTTTGAAAAGGCTGCCTGTGTCACTGTAAATACTGAGAGCAGTATGCCCTGAAGGGGTACAGTACAAGCTTCCAGCAAGTCTGGCATGGCATGGATTCACTGGAAGTAGTCACGGAGAGAGACAGGGATTGGTGATGCCAAAGGCCCAATCTTGGAGGCCACAGGTCTGTCCATGGAACTGTGTGGGTCCTTGGGGCCTGGCACATTAAAGCGATCACTCCCAGGAGACTGGCAGGGGCATAGGCTAGACCTTGTGACTCCGTGACAGAAGGCAAAAGGTAATTTGTTAGTGAGACCAGGGAGGCTGCAAAGGCCTGATCCATCCAGGCTTTTGGGCTCCTGGATTAATGGAATCCCTTGTGGTGACAGAATAAGGAAAGACTTACCTTCAGCATAATGTCTCATAAGATCATAGTTGAGTCTAGGCCCTCCTAGAAGTTTCTTTAAAGGGGTTTTCAGGAAAAGGGGGAAACTTGGGAAGAGTTGTGGATATCCAAAGACTACAAAGGGCCGTGGAAGCAGAGCGTTCACCAGGTTCAGAATTGCTCCTACTGTTGCTTGGATCTGGTGGCTGCAGCTTCATGTAAGACCACAGTGGAAATAGGGCCAGAACTGGCAGAATGGGCCTACTGCCAAATACAAATGAAGGGCACAGAAGGGGCATTATTAGCACTTCCTAGATATTAGAAACAAGTTTCCTTTGTCCTCTTCTGTTTTATGTTAGAGCCAGAGCTTCAACGATGCCTGGAAAGATGATGTCTCAGCAGAGGCAAGAGAACCGAGGAAGCTTGTCTGCACACCAGAAGAAACTAAATGCAAAACCCCTGTATTTGGATTTGCTAGCACTTGTCTGACAGATGAGGACACATCCATTTATCAAAACTTGTGGCAGTCAGACCATAAAATAAAAATGTCAAGTTTGGTTTAGCAATATCCTGATATTTAAATATGGACCAATATTTCCATTCTTATATTCCTTTTGTGAATCTTCTCCATCAGCCAGTTGTCAGTCTGGCACCCTATCTTACCAGATGATGACTAAGGCTGAGATTCTGTCATGGATTCCGTGACTTCTGCAGTGGCCGGTGCAGTTGGCAAGCAGCTCAGGAAGTCCCTGGGCCAGTTGCACTGGCTGCTGCTGGGGCAGTCTCGGGCCACCGCACCCCGCAGGAGAAGTTTGGGTGTGGGAGGTGGCTCAGGGCTGGGCGGCGCTTACCTGGGGGGAGAGGGGGGCGTCCCTGGAAGCAGCAACATGTCCCTCCCTAAACTCCTAGCTCCACATGCTGCCTCCGCCCGCAGCTCCCATTGGCCGCAGTTCCCGGCAAATGGGAGCTGCAGAGCTGGCAGCGCACAAAGCTAGGAGCTGAGGGTGGGACATATCGCCGCTTCTGAGAAGTCAGGTAGGGAGCCTGCCAGCCCCGCTAATCCCCCCACCAGCACCAGCGGGGGGTCCCAGGGAGCCCCCCGATCCCTGAGCACGAGCACCCGCAGCACTCCCAAGATTTAATCAGGGGCATAGCACAAGTCATGGACAGGTCACGGGCCGTGAATTTTTGTTTACTGCCTGCGACCTGTTCATGACTTTTACTAAAAATACCTGTGACTAAAACGTACCCTTAATGAGAACACTGCATCCTGAAAACCAACCTGCAGTGATTCTCTCTAAAGAGGTCCCTATTTTGTGCGTGCGTGTTTGTGTTTGGGGGTAGGGGGACGTGCTGTACCCTCCTTTCTCCGCAGGAGTCACAACAGCCCCTATCCAAAGCAGAAAGTGACTTATCAAGGGTGGTGGGTGGCTTACATATGGGGCAGCTCTATCACTGAAGGAGCCCATGGCAGCTTGGAGTGAACCAGGGCTCCTCATGGCAATGGTCAGAAAAGGAAAGTGGGTAGAGAAGCTGGCTGTTGTGGGGCTGGACTGCACTCCCCACCCCCCACCCTTGATCACTCCGTGGATTAAAAAAAAATCTTATTAACCAAAAAAGGCTTGCTTTGTTCTATCAACCCCCTTTACTCCTTTCTCACCTCCAAACAAAATTGATTCACTAAATGCTATTTACCATGCAGGCCTCCATTAGGGCTGTGTGCATCTCATCTGTTTTATGTTCTTGATCAGCTCCAGCTTCAAGCAGAAAACGAACCATATCTAAATGGCCTTCAAACACAAAACAAAACAATGTTACAAACATTAAGAAAGGGTTTAGTCAAAATATCATAATTTAGGTTTTTGTAGTTTGCCTTTACAAGCCTATCCAATTATAATTTCTAAGTACACTGCTATTGTGGCAAAACACAAGATGGACATTCAACTTATAACAGTGGTCTTACCTGGAAGATTTTATCTTCGGGCTATGCAAAGTTGATAGATTGGCAAAAAAAAAAAAAAATAGCTGAAAGGAGAAAAATCAATCTAGAAGGTAAGAAACCTTCCAGAGAAGAACAGTATGAAGTTATAAACTTAGCTTGAAGTTTTTACTACAACAACTTTCACAGGAATATTTTTATGTACTGTCTAAAAAGATCAGATGCTGTATTGTAAAAGCTTCAATCTAAAAAACAGAGTTGCCACAACCATTCTTAAAAGCTTTGTTCAACCTCACTCAAATTAGTTTTATTTCACTTTCATCTATGGAGCTTTAACATTTTTCTTCAATGCAAAAACAAGTTTATTTAGGTAATTTGCTGATGGATTTTATCCTCTCAGCATGCAGGCAAGGAATGTTTTCCCTATGTTACAGAAGGGGAGTAGAAGACATAGGATAGGTTAAGTGATTTCCCAAGAAGATCATACAGGAAGTCTGTGGTTGACCTGGGAATGAACACCCAGCCCAGAGTCCTATTATATCATTCTTTCCTACACGAGTTTTACTTAATTACAAGAAGTGCTAAGGATATTATCCTTTTTAGGTATCAAAAGTCTATTCTAGGGCTAAAAGTTCTTTATCATGCAGCATTTCATACTGTTGCAATCTACCATTTAAAAAACCCTGGTATCTGAATTTAAGTTCTTATTCAATCTGTCCAACTACCATCAATATTGTTAGTTACCACAGACACAAAAATGTAGGGGGATATACTTAAGACACTACAACAGCACCTCCACAGTTAAGAAAGAGTTTCTAAGAGATACCAGCACCCACTCCTCCCAACTTTAAGAGGAAAAGCAGCTGAAATTTTTGCCTGAAGTGTATTATGATTTTTCTTAGGTGAGAGGAAAATGTTTTGGAAAGTACATCCTATTATCCTAATACAGAGTTATGCAACTCGTAACTTTGAAAACTGGCAGATTTACCTTTGATAAATCTAATTTCATAAAAGATTCTCAAATATAGATGGTTAAAATTTTTAGTTTAATCAAATCTTCAATGGTGCACATAAAAACTCTTAAAATTCAGTTTGGGGGGAAATTTTTGGAGTTTAATACAAACATTTCAACTTTCAGGAGTTGCATGAAGGTCTCTGCTAAGATAATAATAATTAAACTTGAGGTCTCAGTCATTAAGTGTCTGTGAAACTTGCAAACTGAATAAAAGAAATTGTTGGAATGGAAAATTAAGCCCAACATTTTAAAAAAGTCAGTACAACTTATTTAGGTGCCTGAACTTCCGAAGTGCTGTACTCATCCCACTTAAGCCAACAGGAGTTGCTGGATATTGGGCAGTATGAAAATCAGGCTGCTTATTTAGGAGCTTAAATATGGACAATCTCAATTTATACACTGTTTCTGAAAGACCTGGCCTGAGAATTACCCCTGTAATATCACTGTTAGCTCACATAGCCATTTCTCCCAAAAAGCTTTCAACTTTTAATAACGTCTCTAATTTTACTTTTCCCTTGACAGAATTTTTATATCACCCAATGTATTAAAAAAGTTAAGTAGACTTGGACTTCAGAAAAAGTAAAAACTATTGGATCCCACTTATGGCGTGCATGTGCCTCCTGTGCACGAGACCCATATCTTTTGACCAGCAACATCCATTCAGGCTGTGCCTGTGCTTGTGCACCTTCCTCCATCCGAGGGCACATTGGGAAGAATGGTCCCGATCAACTCTCAGTTCCTTTGATAATTCAGAATCCCAGCTAAGTTGGACTCCAAATGGGGCTGGGATAGAGGGTAGGTCATGAGATCCACATGCACAAAACATTTAGAAGATCCACAGTTACAACAACATAAGTAATCATGCTCTTTGAGTCTTTGTCCATGTAGATCTCACTTGTGATGATTCACTAGCAACTCCATGAGCACTATAATAGGGTCCATGAAGTCCTATCTATGTTTATCTAAATTAGGATTGAAGAATAGCTCTCTCAAATTTGGCATCTGATCTAGAGGCCAAATCCAGGGTATAACATATTGTAAAAGTATAAACTAAACTCCATGTAGCTGCTCTGCAGATTTCAGTAAGGAATATCATTAAGCAACCTGAAAGCTTGAGCTCCAGCTGAGTGTGCCCTGATTCCTGAAAGTAGGGGTAGACTTGATAACTGATAGGATACTTTCATGCATGAGGTAACCAACCTGCATATCTGAGAAGAGATGGGTTGGCCCTTGTGACCCAAGAACCTCTTCGTGCCAACTGGCAGAGGGCATAGGGGGGCATAGAGTTTTACAGGGATCCCCTGGGTCAAGCATATGCATATTAAATTTACCAAAACATGGCTCTTGGTAGAGATCTCACATGCCAGTAGCCCACTAGTCAGCATTATCATTTCGAAATCCATGTATAGATAACGTTTAACGACTTAAATATTTCTTCTGAAAATTAAATTCTTAATGTATGAGAGTTAAAGCAGGTCACCTAAAGGTGATAAACCTGCTCCTGTCAGGTCAGAGGGAAGAGATGTGTATCTCTCTCTCTCTGGCTAGTCATACGTATACTGTCCACTTCCCAGCGGAAGCCTATTTGCATTACTGAAGCTAATGGAGATTGAGAAATCACATGAGAGCAAAACTGCAGGAAAACAAAAAGTGCCAGGGGTATCTTGTTTACAAGCAAAGAGCCTGTCTTATGAAAGGAGGGTCTAAGCCAACCTGGCTGGAAAATGCTGCAAAGACTTGGGTGAGCTAAACTTCATTAGACAAAAAACTATCTTGTTAATCATGTCTAGGTTCCAGAACAGGGGTTCTCAAACTGGGGGTTGGGACCCCTCAGGGGGGGTCACAAGGTTATTACATGGGGCGTTGCGAGCTGTCAGCCTCCACCCAAAACCCCACTTTGCCTCCAGCATTCATAATGGTGTTAAATATGTTAAAAAGTTGTTTTTAATTTATAAGGGGGGGATCGCACACAGAGGCTTGCTATGTGAAAGGGGTCACCACTACAAAAGTTTGAGAACCACTGTTCTAGAATGTGTGTTCTATTTTACATGTAACCATTTGTTTCTAACACTGCCACTTGCTGCTTCTCAATTCTCTATACTTTGTTAAATAAGCTTTTACTTGTTTTCACTATAAACATATCTAAGTGGTAGGTCTTAAATGGTGCGGTCATCCAAGGTCTAACTGGCAAGTTGTTGTGACTGTTCCTTTGGAAGCAGTGAATCTGGAATTCTGAGAGTGTCCGGTCAATGAGGTTGATGGATACTTCAGAGACACTCAGGGGGCTTGGAGCATGGCTATCACTAACCTGCAGAGGAAAAGTGGAGCCTGCGTGGATTAAGAGGGGAGTGCTTATGTTGCCTGTGCTACTAGCTGACAATTAGTAGCACAGGCATGGCTTCCTCACACAAAGGGGAAGTGGTAGCAAGATGCCTCAAAACCCTGGGAAGCGTAACAGCCCTAAACTGTTTTTCCAAGTGCCATGAACAAACAGGTGATTTTCTAAATAGCTTTGTTCTATCTAGGTAATCAAGAAGGGCTTGGGAAACATTTAAGGTGTGCAGTTTGGCTTCCCCGAGTTTGAGTGAGGTTTGAGGAAGAAAGCTAGGAAACAGATGGTTCGGTTTAAGTGAAAGTCAGACACCTCACATTTTTCTAATAAATTTTATCCCTGTGGAATACCATACGAGGAGTATATGCCATGGACCTCACAAGCCCACCTGGCTGAGATGATAGCTACCAGAAAGGCTGTTTTAAGGGCGAGATGGTGGAGGGAGCACTTAGATAAGCATGCAAAAGGGGCTTCAAGACCCATCAGAACTACATTAAGGTCCCATGGTGGGGTAGGCTCCCGAATGCAGGGAATAAGCCGAACCAGTCCTTTTAGAAATTTTGAAACAGTGGAATGAGAGAACAGTTATATGTTTGAATGGGAGAGTGACATTATGAAACAGCAGCTACATGAACCTCGATAGTGCTGATCGTGAGACCTGATAGCTTGAGCTGGAGGACAACCCAATGTTGGGATAGAAAATTTCAATGGATTGAGACCTTATTAGAAATCACAGATGGACATCTCTTCCACTTTGATGTGTAGACTGATTTTGTAGAGGGTTTCCTGTTCTGTATTAGGATTTCTGTGGAATAATCCTTGTCTGATGCATTCAACTAGCCAACTTCCAAGCAGTCCGATATAGAGATATGGGTACCGGGTGGAGAATTAGTCCCCTACAATGGCTGTTGCGGACAGATGCAGCAGAAATTTGAGTCAATACTGTCTTGCCTAATAAGGGACTGTATCCATCACTATGGCCACATCCTGCCTGATGTTCCTTATGACTCTTGGCATCAGGGGAACAGAAGACAATGCATAAAGACATTGAAACCAAAGAATGAGGAAAGCATCATGGAGGGACACTGGCCTGGTATTTGCTCCGGGCCAGAAGAGAGGGCAATTGTAATTTTTGTTGATGGAAAATCAGAGCACATCATCTTGTCTGTTGAGGAGGTGGTGTCTGTCAGGATCGGTACTGTGATTCCTTTCAGAAGTGGTACAAATTCGCTGCAGATTAGACAAATTGCCTTGAGTTTCAGCACTTTAATATGCAGTGAGGATTCTTAACTAGATCAGAAATGAGTCTGTAGCTTGTTTAGATTCCTCTCCACTAGCCACAGAGGCTTATGTAGTGTGTTGCTGTGGGAGGAGGGGTTCAGAATGATACCACTTTGCACACAATCTCTGGATTTGCCACTAGTCCAGGGAAGATAAAACGGGATTTGGGATCTTGAGATAAGTATCCATATAGTGTTAGGTAAGCTCGTAAACCGATCTGAGGCATCCTTGGAGAGGGCACAAGTGAAGTCTGACAAGAGGTGTCACACTTAAGTGGACAACATCATGTGGCCTACGTTTCTTGCGGTTATTACAGATCAGGGATGCTATGGGCTGAAACCTGTTCAGAGAGAGCTACGATTTCATCAACTTGGAATATAAAAGTTCCTTATAAATTCTATGGACTGAGCAGACGTGACAGATGACTACTTTTATTTCACCTCAAGTCCTGGAGAGTGCAACAGGTTGAGGTCTCTGGACAGGCCATTGGATAATTCCTGGAAGATTTCCCTCTCAGAAGCCAGTTACCCAAGTAGAGGTAAACATGCATTCCTTATGTTAGATGTGCTGTCACTACTGCCAGACATTTTATGAATACTTTTAGGGCTAGACAGGCCCTGTACTAACAGAGGTCATATCCTACTGTGATCCGAAGATATTTTCTGAGGACCAGGTGAATAGCTATGTGACAGTAAGCATCCTGAAGGCCAAGAGCCACAAGCCAATCCTGAGCTTCTACAGACAGAATGATGGAAGCTTCCCTCACCATTCTGAATTTAAATGACTAAAATTCAAGTGTATGAATTTCTTGAATCACCTAGGTTGCGTCCCCCTCTTCCGGAAATAAGAAAATAGCAAGAATAGAAACTTTGAATTCCTGGGTTACTACTTCTAATGGCTTCTTCCTTCAGTTGTTTCTCATGAGATGGGTCCCCCAAACAGGGACATAGAAGACAGATCAGCTGGGGTCAAGGACTGAAATTGTAATCTCAAACACCCATTGGTCTGAAGTAATCCCAGTCTATGCCTGAGAAAAATGGGAAAGGTGGCAACCAAAAATGGAGATGAGAAAAAGGAAGCTGTGGTGGAACTGGTACATGGCTCTTGACTTGAAAGTCAGACTTGTTGATTGGATGATGATGCAGGGTGGGTGGGTAGGTAGCAGAAGAGGAGGGGGCTTGTCTGGTGGGTGAATTGAGACTAAGGGCATGTCTTCACTAGCAATGTTATTAACTAACTAAAACGATGGATGGATGGATGGATAGATGAAAATGGACGTACCTTCTCTTGCACTACAATATACAGAGTATTTTCTGTTCTCCCTAGCAACTCCTAAAGGACTTGTAGTCTTCAATAAGTGGTATAGGGTAGGAGGTTTCCAGTGGATATTGTGGTGATAAGTCACCTTCATCCATTTCCTCAATGTACTCTCTTCCTTCCTGTTTTTCTTGATCTCTGAGGGTCTGCTTCCCTAACTGGGCTAGTAGGTATTCTGACCAGGGAATAAAATCTGGTGTGCTCAAAAGAGACATGAGGAGAATAAGTCCGTAGATGTCTCGTTGGAGAAGACCATGGAGCCCAGGAGGCCCAAGGTGGTGGACCAAAGGGACAGGTTTTGAGTCTTAAGGTGATGTCTGCCAGAGTAATACTGGATACTTCAGAGAGGTATGTCTGGATATTCTGCAGGGAGAAAATCTCATGGTGGGCCCTAAATTGAATCTCTGGTGTCAGAGGGTGGGATATATATTTATTGGGAATACCATGAAACTGTACATTTTATAAACTCCTTAAATCACATAAATCCAGTTACAGAAATGGAAATGTTTACAAGGTCTTCAAGCTCCATGACCATCACCAGAGAATCCACACAATCCTTATTTGGCTGTATCTGACTTCATAATGGATTCTGAATGCAAGTGGTCTCTCACTAATTATTACAATCCAAGAATTTAAAGGTAGAATTTAGGTTCTGTGAACCATGGAGTTCCTTTTCATTCAAGGAACTTACATACTCTATAGGAGAGTAATAAAATTATTAAATTCAGTCTTCATCTGCCACATCTCCCAGCAAGTAAAAAAGAACTTAACAGCAAATGTTTCCTGAATCTCCTAGAGTTTGAATTAATAGCTCAGCTGCACCCATTTTGTTTTTTAAATACATATACATGTACAAAAAAAGGAAGATTTTACTTGACTTTTTGGAAAGTTTAGGAAAATACTTACCAAAGAAAAACAGTGTTAAAACAGAAAAATACTTGAGAAGTTAGAGTTTAAAAACAGACTAAATCATTCCTAAAACCAAACTTCGTAGAATTCTGGTTGGAAACTTTAAAACAAAGCATTTTAAGAAAGCTAAATGTCTGCAAGTCAGGAAATTGAGTTTAAGTTCTACAACCAGCCTTACTTTTGAACATGTAACCTCATCCACTGTCTATCAGTAAAGCCACAAGTCTCCTTAATCCCAATTATTTCCCCCTATACTTAGATTTTCAACGTGAGCCAGGACACTCCATCTACTGACCTGCAAACCAACACGTGTTAGTAGGAGAACCTAATCACCTCCAAATCCATATTCCTGCTACGCTCCAGAGATATCTTACTTCTACCCTTAACATAGTATCAAATAAGCAACACCCTTCCATGATTTGCCATATAATCCAAATCGAAGACATCCACCCACTATACCAACCTCATTAAGACTCCACCATTACAGATAAGCATTATTATATATTTTACCACATATTGGCTGCAGATGCCTAAGTATCACATTCACAACTGGGGTGCTAGTACATTCTCTATAAAGGAGAGACAGACAGCGTGTGTATAGAACACCATCATTTGCAACAAGATTCAGAGTTTAGAAAGATGCAGTTTTTGTTGCAATAGAGATGGCCACAACAAAACATACAGTTGTTCTTATGCTGTATCAATGTCATTGGATGGAGGGTAGGTGGGGTATGTTGAATACGAGAAAGTTGCAAAAGGGGGAGGGACTGCTCAGTGGTTTGAATATTGGCCTGCTAAACCCAGGGTTGAGAGTTCAATCCTTGAGGGGGCCATTTAGGGATCTGGGGCAAAAATCTGTCTGGGGATTGGTCCTACTACTAGATGACCTCCTGAGATTCCTTCCAACCCTGATATTCTAGGATTCTAACTCCAGATTTCCTGACTTTCACATTTAAGCTTACTTTAAACTCCAGAATTCTAATTAGGCTCCTGATGGTATTTTTTGAACCTTGACAAAAATTGTCTGGGAATTTTAGTTAAATTCCAAGCACAAAATCTAACAATGTCATGTGTGTAATACAAGGAACCTCAAAAAAATACAAAAGGTGAAAGTCACCTAAAGTTTCTTCACAAATGAAGATTTAAATACCATACCTTTATAGCATGCTAATGTAAGTGCACTTTCTTTGAACTCATTGGAATGAGTGTTGATTCCTGCACCATATTCCAGAAGTACTCTTGCAACTTCAACATGACCTGCACTGGCTGCTTCCATTAAGGGGGTATGTCCATTTTCATTATGATCTTCTATATTAGCACCTGCTTTCAATAGCACTTTCACTATGTCAACGAATCCCCCAGCGCAGGCATAAGTGAGTGCTGTGTTCCCTAGGAGAAGATAAAAAGAACATACAGTAAGTAACCCCTTCCTCTTTCCCCTAATCCCAACTGTAAATAAATGAAACCAAAACCTATTTTAAACATATAGAATTTTAATCTACCTAAGTATTTATACCACAAATCAACCTAACAGACTTTTGCATTTCTCTCACCTATGATTTCAGGTGAGGTAGAAGATTCAGAAACAGATTAACAATAAGACATAACTATTTTACTGAAACATTGCCCTAGTTCTAAGACTCCTTTTATCAGCCTAAACCTTTTACTGGCCTATGTTATTGTCTCTAGGAGACCTAGAGACACTCAACACCCTTTTATCTTTCATCTCATTCAAATACTATCATTCCTGCTTTGTTTAGCCTCTGCCTTCAGTAAACTATATGCTGGTAATCTCTCTCAGCCAATACAGTCAAGTTCTGACAACTGGCTCACACTTCCCTCAGCATTTTTCACCACATGCCTAGTATTTATGTAAATGATTTAACCGTTCATTATTTTTTTCTGTCTTTGCCCCTAACCCATCATTTCTTCCTGTATAGAATGTGTTAATAAGAAAGCTTCCTATATTTCTGGATGCCCTTGGTATTCCTGCATCACTTGGTTTCAAAAATTGGCCACATTTTGTCTATTAGCAGTATCTCTCAGTTACTGCCTAGATGAAGTTTAGCTTATTTTTAATACTACTCTTTCACCTTCCCTAATCTCCCCAAATTCAACGTTTCTGAAATACCTTCAACAGAGGTATGGGTTAAGCCCTGGTTTACTTGCTCAAACTCATTATTTCTACCAGTGACTTATAGTATCCTTGAAAACTTCGGGTTTCATTTTCAGGAAAGCATCCTGGTTATCTCAAGCACCTGGAGTCCATTTCAGCAGACTACAGATTCAACTTCTGATCTTCAAAAACAGCTCATTTTCCCTCTTCAGAACTCTTGCACCAGACAAGCAAATCACAGATATAAATGCCTAGGGTTACCATACGTCCGGATTTTCCCGGACATGTCCGGCTTTTTGGGACTCAAATCCCCGTCCGGGGGGAAATCCCAAAAAGCCGAACATGTCCAGGAAAA